AATTTCCTGACTATAATTTTGATCCATGTATATTTGTGCAATCTCATTCTTGGAAACATAACCCTTTTTATTATTAATTTCTTCCAAAATCTGAAGGTCTACTATAGGTATTGGAAATAACCACGGAGGTTTCTTCTTCTTCTTCTTCTTCTTCTTCTTCTTCTTCTTCTTCTTCTGTGTTTAATGGCGGTTGGCAAACCAGCTCAAGGTGCATTTCCGCCACCTGCTGGGATGGAGTGTGAGCCCTCGATGAACGAAAATTGTATGTAATAAAAAAAACAACTAAATTCTTCTAATCAAATCTCTATCTCTCAAATATCTTAGAAGAACATCATAAACCCTTAACTGATTCTGTGCGTTCTGAAATATATTCTTAACTGAAATGTCACTGATATATTTCATCAAGCTGCTTTCTTTGTCTATTATATGCCTCACAATGTAAGAGTTCATGCTCAACTGTTTCTGTTATTCCACAGTAATTTCGGCAATCTGATCACTTTTTCCTATTATATGCAATGAATAATTAAGGTTAGAGTGTCCTATACGGATCCTGGTTATAACAATATCTTCTCTTCTGTTTCCATATACCTTTCTTTCAATCCCCACTTTCTGTTGAATGCTAAATAAGTGTCTCCCTTTTGACTCTTTATTCCATACGTCTTGCCACATACCTCCAACTGCTGTTTTAATAATACCTTTCACTTCTGTTTTACTTAAAGGAATTTCTATGTCAAGCTCTTCTTTTCTCAATGCTGACTTGGCCAGCTTATCCACCTCCTCATTTCCTTCTACACCTACATGAGCAGGTATCCATAAAAACTCTACTCTTACTCCTGTTTGGTTTATTCCATTTAAATTCTGTAAAATTTCATAAAGTATCCTGTCTAGATTATGATTTCCCACTATTTAAGCTGTTTAATACTGAATACGAATCTGAACAAACTACTACACTTATAGGATTGATTTCTTAAACCCACTGCAAAGCCATTAGAATTGCCATCATTTCTGTTGTGAATGCAGATACATCGTTAGATAACCTCTTAACTGTGCTATATTTAAAATAGGGAATATATATGGCTGCTGCTGTATACCCAGAATCTGGATTTTTTGACCCATCCTTATATATTTGAATACTATTAAAATAGTTTTGTTTCAAATATTGATCCACTTCTATTTCTTTAGGCATACACCTTTCCTTTTCATTTATTTTAAAATGCAACTGGAGATCTACCATTGGCATGCGGAACAGCCAAGGGGGTATAATTGGTATTGCTACCGTTGAGCTCATTTTTATGTCATTAATTCCTACCTTCTTAGCATCTGCGTTGGCATTCCATCCAAAATTACAATAATTTATATACTCATGTTCCCAACATTTTTGTAAAACATCTTTGACTGGATGGGTTTCTACATGCCCCCTCACAGAACACCAGTATGCCATCTTTAACTTAAGTCTCCGGAGGTCTAAAGGCAACTCCTCCATTTCCACCTGCATCACTGAGACTGGCGATGTTCTAAATGCCCCACTTCCTATTCTTAGTGCTTGAGATTGGATACCACTTACTTTCTTTAACATAGATACTGATGCCGAACTATATACTATGCTGCCATAATCAATCATAGGCCAAAGACTCTCCAAGGATCACAGCTGGAAAACTGCAGAAAATAGTTGAGTTTTGGTGTCAGAAAGCCTCGAGATATATATATATCTCAAACAGCACCAACATCACATGTTGTTTGGGAGTGTTTTAAGCAAAATCTAGAAAAGAAAATGCTCTCATCCAAAAACAAACTCCAGCATATTTATTTGCTAGACATTACTGGAAATGCACACGATACTGGCTTCTACAGTCAGATGAAACTAAAACATTTGCTTTTTAAGAAAATGAGTGTTGTGAACTGAAGTGGAGAAGCACCAACATGATCTGGGAATCTGAAGGGTCTGGAGTGATTCTGGATGAAGGAATGGTCTCTGATCTCTTGTCAAATGTTTCCAAACTCTTCAGGCATTATAGGTTTAGATTCAGAGCTGTTATATCGGCAACAGGTGGTTGCAAAAAGTATTGAATAAAAGGGTATGATTAATTGTTGCCAATGTGTATTAGAGAAAAACATTTAGCTATTTCATAAGATCCCCCCTCCTTTTTAAATTATCTAGTGAAACGTTGTTTTTGTAATTTAAAAAAAATAAAAGATCAAAATAATTAGTGATTCAGATTTATTTTCATAGCCTTCTTTGATAATATTTACCAAGGTAATAATTTTGAGCACAACTGTAGGCCCTATATAAAGTCGAATTTGTAGGAGTTTTTTTTCCCAATAAAGCACTGGATAAAATGCACATTGACCTTTCAATCTTATTCAGACCAATTTGTTCTTAACACGGCTGTGTTCTCATTACGTTGAATAACCTATCTTTATCTACCAGCCATCATTAGCGCAACCATCTGCAGGTGGCCGGAGTGTATATAGCTCACAAAGCCGAGAAAATCTCTTACTTAATAATGTGACTTGAACGAGGCAAAGTAACAATAGTCACATTGAAAGTGCAATGCTGTAGTTGCATACGCGTTTGAAGATGATGAACGCACGGGTGGTTGAGAAAGAGGACACTGTGCCGCGACTGCAGCTGTTTAATTGCGCTTACAGTGATTGTGGAGCGACATTCGTGCGTCAGTGGCGTCTGCTGGAGCACGAGACCGTGCACACCGGTGCGGTGAGTCCTAGTCCTTTGTTTCTTGAAATAAAAGACCGCGTTTATCAAGTTCTTTCTCTTTTCTGCGCTTTGACTTTTCCCCCCTGTTTTCCTCAGCGACCTCACAAGTGTGTTGTAGCAGGATGTGGACGCAGTTTCACCCGTAAATCGCACCTGAGCCGACATGCTTTAATACACAGCGGGGTGAAAGACTTGAAGTAATGTCGTTTAAAAACGGCCAGTTTTCTTTTTTGTACATCCTGAAGTGAGACCTGTGTAGGCTTATTTAGATCCACTTGGATGACCTACCTGGCTAAACACTCTGTATTTAAGTTTAGTTATTGGATAATATTAATTTTGATGTGGAATATGAACTGGCATGGTAGGAAAAAGTGGCCAGTTAAAAAAAGTTCTACATCTGAGTTTGTACATCTGCGAATGTGTGTGGTTACCGTGGAGCAGGTGCAGTGCCGCTGCGTGTGGCAAGAGCTTCTTCACCGCTGATAAACTTAAGAGGCACGTGCGCTACGCTCACAGCGAGAAACGCGAATATTTCAAGGTCGGACTCTTATTTTCTTTCTCACCACACAATTACTTGTCACATTTTGCTGTTCGCGTAAACACGCTTTATGCTTATAATTAACACGGAGTCTTTTCTCAGTGTGAAGAGCCACAGTGCGCAAAGACGTTTAGGAAACGGCGAGCGTTGAAACTGCACCTGGCGACGCACGGTGCATCCAGTTTCAGGTGCGTCTGCGCAATGTTTTTAATAACCAATGCTCTGAAACTTTGACCAAAGTGAAACACAGTGAAAATCTAAATTTTTCCTGTTTAAGATGCTTGAAAAGCGGATGTGGGATGAGGTTTGAGTCTCACGTTGCGCGGAAAGCACATGATCGGAGACATTCAGGTGAGGATTCATCAATTCCGAAATGTTCATATCCTGGCATTAACTTTAACCCCGTTAGTTGCTCACCATATGGTTAAGCTCACTAGCTGTTAACATGTTACCCAGTGGTTAATCCAAAATTTCTTTACTGTTCACATTTTGGTAATGCTGCCTTGTGTACTGAACTTGTTTGTAAAAATTAAAACTAGGTAAAATGTAGGGAAGTGGAGTGCATATTCCTCAACTTGAGGTACAAACTTTTAGATGCTTTGGAGTTGAGGTTGATGGCAAAGCCATATTGGGACTTAAACATATATTAAATTGGGTGTGAAATCTGATTATGGTTTTGGCCCAACTATACTCTGGTTCACAGAAAACAAAGACCCATGAGTTTCAGTAGGTTACTCTAGTATTGGGTAGTATCATAAGTGCTTACGTGAGACCACTTCTAAAACTACTTCACAACACCCACCCAGTATTTGTTTCTTCAGGTTATCGCTGTCCTCATGCTGAATGCCCCATCAGTGTGCACACCTGGAGGAATTTACAGAAACACATGGCATGTCACCCAGGTAAACCGGTGAAACTGTTTGATTGCTTATTGGATGTAAACCGCTCCGTTTTCCACGAGTGGTGAGCTTTTTGTGTCCGTAAGGGTTCTGAAGACTATTTTATTTATTCCCCCCCTCCTTTTGTCAACAGCATCATTCCCCTGTATGGCATGCAAAAAAGCCTTCAGGAAGCGTGATGCTTTGAGGAGACACAAGCGGACACATGCATTGCAGAAGCCGGTTTTGCTCTGTCCCAGTCAGGGCTGCCAGGCTTACTTTTCCACCACCTTCAACCTGCAACATCATATTCGAAAGATCCATCTACAGCTGCTCTCACACCGCTGTTCCTTCCCTGGCTGCAGCAAGAGTTTTGCCATGCGTGTGAGTACATTTGTGGAGCATAGGTAGAATTGTCTTGTGATTTTTTTTATTTTTTTTTTATTGTCTCTTAAAGCCAAGTGACATGAAGTGTATGTAACTAGTGGTTGAATTCTGCAGGTAATAACTACAGTTTTGACTTGATGTTCAAGTTTGTGTAGTTGTAGACCTGTAGTGTTTACAGCGTTTAGGTTGTGAAATATTGTGCTAGTAACCCCTGCCTCACCTGTGCCGTTTCAACAGGAAAGCCTCGTCCGCCATCTGTTACGTCATGAACCTGATATGGCCAAACTCAAGGTAGTTCTACCTTGTACACTAGTCAACATTTGAAGTGGATAAAAACCTTTCAAAGTTGTCCTAAAGCCAAATGCGTTCTTTCCTTGGGACAACTTTGATGTTTTTGATCACTTCAAATGTTGACTATCATTTTTAAAAGCTGCCTGAGCTTTAATAACTGTTGATGTTACCACATTTTTATTAAACCATCTGTGATTGTATTTAAAAACCGCTTAAGTTTAATTTTAATTCACTGGTTATTTGTGTTAAGCACCCACATAAGCGGAGCAGCAAGAGTTGGCAGAAACGTTTGGAAGGGAGAAATCGTCGTCCTCTAGTTGAAGACCTTCGCTCTCTCTTTTCATTACGCATGAAGATCTCTCCGAGGGCCAAACTGGAAGCTGATCTGACAGGCCTCTTTAATGAGCGTAAAATCCCACACCATGTTGATCCTGAAGTAAACCTCAAAGATCTGTTCAGTATCCGTCCGACTAAGGTTGCTGATAAATAGATTTCTTTTTTTCTTCTGTATACAAATACTGTACTGACACGAATTCAGTTTAAAGAAAAAAATTTTTGTTTCAGGTGTTAGTACTTGAGGTACAGAAGTTTATTGATTTACCATTGTTTGAGAAACAACAAATTAAGTTCTCTGTATGAGAAAAATAAAGGATTTAGTTTTGTCAGTCTGGCTTCTGCATATGTTTATAGTAGCTGGGGCTATGGTTCTTAAGGAAGTACTGTTTGTTTGCATTTTGGAAGTTGACTTATACTCCGCTCAGTGAAGAGCTGAATGTTTTGATTCAAACCCCAATGTTTACATTTTGTTAGGTTTTGCTGTAAAACACTACAAATGTTACACTGCAACTTCAGATATTAGTGCTCTAACTTTTTTCTGCTTCTGTAATCGTTGCAATTGCATAGCTATAGTGTATAGAAATAAATTACTGTTTGTCGCAGTGATGGATGGGAGAAATTAAGCATTTTCCAAACTCTGGTTCCACAACCAGTTGCTCTGCAAATGGGTCAGTTTTTCAACATGCTTGACTCCACACTGCCGATACTGGCTGTGCATGATACTGTAGCTGCAACAAAATGCACCCCAAACATGAACCGGTTTGTTTGCAATCTAGAAATATGAAGGGTATGTATAATTTCTGTTCCCTTTTGTCTTACTAGGTAGGCCTTTAACTAACTAGGCCAGTTAGAAATGGTTAACTATAATGCTCCATTTTCTATTGTACATTTCAAATTATAAAGCACAACTAAACACAACTACCGTTGACCAATGTGCTGTACAAAAGTAACCATTAACAGAATTAAAACAAAGACCAGGACACAAATAAAACTTCAAAAGTATAAGGCAAATCATGAATAAGCCAGATCAAATAAAAATGGTTTTAACAGATTTAAAATGGATGGTGTAGGGGCGGTTCTGGTTTCTGTAGTTCGATTTTTCCAAGCTCTGGGAGCGAGTCCAATCTATGGTGAGTGCTTGATCATCCCTAGACTTGAGTCTGGTTCTAGGAATTAGGAATCTAGGCCTTAAATTGGTAGACCTAAGTGCTCTTGCAGGTTGGTGGTCTATCAACAAATCGGAGAGGTATGAGGGTGCTAAACCATTTAGAGACTTAAAAACCAATAAGAGCACTTCAGAATTAATCCTGTAGCGCACAGGTAACCAATGTAACGACTTAAGGACAGGGGTAATATGTTCATGCTTTCAAGCTCCCGTCAGGACTCTGGCAGCTGCATTTTGAACCATCTGAAGGCGGTTTAAGGAAGATTGATGGATCCCCAAATAAAGAGTTACAATAATCAAGCCTCAGGGCGATAAAAGCATGGATTACTCTTTCAAAATTAGTAAAAGAAAGGACTTCATTTTGACCAGTGTTTGCAACTGATAGAAGCTTGACTTCACAACTTGGTTAACTTGCCTATCAAGCTTTAAGGCACTGTCCAACACCACACCCAGATTTTTCATGTACGGCTTTACATAAGGTGCCAGAACACCAAGATCTAGATTTGGTATACAGTATGTATCAGAAGCGGTAAACACCACAATCTCTGTTTTACTCTCATTCAGACTTAAAAAATGTACAGACATCCATGCTTTAACATCCAAGAGGCAGGTGGCTAATGGGTCTAATCCATTCTTATGTTTCAAAGGAAGATATATTTGTGTGTCATCTGCATAACAATGATAACTTATACCATACTTCTCAAAATAGATCAGAGGGGAAGCATATATAAGGAAAACAACATGGGAGCTAGAGTAGAGCCTTGAGGGACCCCACAGGTCAAAGGTACAGAAGAAGAGTGAAATTTGCCAATATTAACTGAGAAACTTCTGTTCGTAAGATAATACTGGAACCAATTTAGGGTAGAATCTCTAATGCCCACTACCTGTTCTAAGCGGGACAGAAGAACATTGTGGTCTACAGTGTAAAAAGCAGCGTTCAAGTCTAAAAGCACCAGTGCTACAGAATCTCCAGAGTCAGTAGCCAAAAGAATGTCATTAAACACTTTTAAAAGAGCCGTCTCAGTGGAGTGAAATTTTCTAAAGCCTGATTGGAACGCATCAAAAATGTTGTAATCGATCAAGAAACTTTTGAGTTAATGAAAAACTACTTTATAATTTTTGCTAAAAATGGAAGATTAGAAATGTGTCTAAAATTTGATAAATCAGAGGAATCTAAATTAGGCCTCTTAAGTCTGGGTTGTACCGAGGCATGTTTTAAATAGTCAGGAACAATTCCTAACTCGAGGCATTTATTAATCAAATTTAAAAGTGTCGGACCGATTAAATTGAACACTTGTAACCGTGCGGGAATTATAGCTAAGGGTGAACCAGTAGGTTTGAGTTGATTAACAATGTCATTTAAAAAAGAAAGCGAAATAGGTGTAAACTGACTAAAGACACTTATATGTTTTAAAAGGCCTGCAGGATCACCAGCAACCGATTTGATGGTATGTCTGATCTCATATATCTTAATAAAAAACTGGCAGAATCGCTCACACATAGCTACTGACTATGTAGGATGCACACAGACAGCAGGGTTTAACACAGCATTAATGGTATTAAAAAGGGTTCTAGGATTATTATGATTTTTGTCTGAGAGTCGAAAAATATTCTGATTTGGCCACTCTCACCGCCTTCTGATACTTAATAAGAGAATCCTTTAACATTTCATAAGAAATCTGTAGGTTGTCCTTTCGGCTCTTCTACAAGCCTGTCTCAATGTCTGAGTGGTATTATTCAACCATGGCTCAGGAGTTAATTGTGATGTTTAGTCCTCATAGGAGCCACAGAATCCAAAATTATAGTGCAGACTGAATTAAAACGATATAGCAGTTAATCAGGACTGAGCTCAGATGAAGGAGAGCAGTAGGAATGGGAAAACTCAGTGAAGAAAAAGAATCAGAGGTAGCAGCATTCAATGACATGTTGAATATAATAGGATTGTGATCAGAAAAGCTGTGGTCGCATATCTCAATACAACCCATAGTGAACCTATGGGACATTATAAGATCGAGAGTGTGTCCATGTATATGTGTAGGTCCTTTAATAAGCTGCACTAAATCAAAGGCTTCTGTTAGAGGCTTCTTATTTACCACAGACCTCGCGTTGACCAACGCCATCTTTATCTGCATGGAGTCTTCAAACAGCTGCGTTGCTCTACGCAGCGGGCGAAGTTGATGTATAGAAACGCCGCAACGGTGGAGGCGAGGTGAGTGGTGTTGAGGCCGTCGATCCCACGAGCTCGGGTAGAATGGGTACATTCCCGGTGTAAGCCCCTGCAGATGAACGCCAGATGATGGAGCAATCACCTTCCCTCATAGACAGATCCAGATTAATGTTCAACTCACTGCTGGTCCGAAGCAGAAGCTTGAGCTTGACATAAATATAAGTTTAAATGTTTTGGACAAAATAATTCATCTTGCAGAACTTAGAGAATGGGACGTAAGGGAGGTGCAACATCAGAGACTGAAAAATCTCTGCTTTTCTCAAATTATTTTGGTGAAAATGCAAACCTTGTAGAAAAAAACAAGCTTCAAGTCAAGCCACCTTTATTTTTATAGTACTTTGTACAACAGAGAAGCATCTTCACAGTATTAAACAGGAAAGTAAAAATAAATGTTCTACTGTAAACTTGCTTCCAAATTCTGCTGTAAAACAGCTTCACCAGGGCAATATGTGACCCTGGACCACAAAACCAGTCTTAAGTGTCAATTTTTCGAAATTTAGATTTATACATGAGTGATTCTATAATTGCAGGTACATTTGGTGTCCGAAGTCATTCTTTTTTTTCTGCTTTTTTCAAATGGTTATATTTTTTTATTATTTTAATACGGTGTTACTCGTTGTTATGAATTACAAGATGCTACAGTCCATAACAATTTAATATTTTTTGCAAAAAGTGTCTTAAATAGCTGAAAATCATGATTTCTTGTTGTCCGAATTGCATTTTGCATTTGCATTTTTTCCATCATGTATCATTGTGCATTTTTTCCATCATGTATCATCAAAATATTTTATTGTACTTTTCTTTTTATAATATTGCATTCATTTTATTTATAAAAGCCCTAAAGAGTAATTTTCCTAATTCTACAACATTTTTTTTTAAATAACCTTTTTCTTATAAAAATGTGTGTCCGTAAATCTTGCGTCAACTCTTTTACCGTACCATACTTTGCCTTTAAATTAGTGGAATTATCTCCCACAATATGTAAGATACAGGAAATGATGTCACTTTCCCTCACTGTTAAGATCTGAAGCACTGACAAGTCTATGTGCTCTCTCTAAGAAAATATTTTAATCTAAGAAGTTCTTACACCAAGAGTTATTTTATAAAATGTCAAATCTGTTACCACAATATCAAAAGGAAAACAGATTTTTTCATTGATCACATTTTGTGTTATTTAAAAGTCTTTTAATCATGATTTCATTAGTGCCATGTGCTCTTAGCATTTATGCTAGCAAGTGGAGTTTTTGGCAAAAAATAAAGAAAATGGTCAATTCTGTTACCGTCAAACTCTGTTGGTAGAGTAACAATGCTGACAATGCGGAAACAGAATAGACAGTCCATCGGACAATTCTGTCAATTCTGTTACTTTACAATTCTGTTACTTAAAGGGTCAACTTTTTTTCTCTTATGATTTATTGTTATTTCGACACATTGGCTAATTTGTCCGTAACAGAGTTGACAAACAATACCATAAAGACATCTGTTTTTTCATTAAAAGTTAAAAAAAAGGAAGTAACGTGTGTTTGGCAAGCACTGAATTATTAAAATTAAATATGTTTTCAATAAGATACTGAAAAAAAAATCTGTTAGTGAAGAGTTTTTTTTCTTAACTTTCTGCAATGCCAAATGTATCTCCAATTATAGAATCACCCACATATAGGACAATATTTGGCTGAAATACAACTATTTGAAAAGGAATTTACGAAAGGAACTTTACAAAATATCTTCATGGAACATGATCTTTATTAAATATCCTAATGATTTTTGGCATAAAAGAAAAATAATAATTTTGACCCATACAGTACAATGTATTTTTGACTATTGCTACAAATATACGTGTGCTACTTATGGCTGCTTTTGGGCTCCAGGGTCACGTATATTAGTGTCATTATTCAGCTTCAGTTAGCTCAGTGTTTGTTCAGTTGTAAAGTTCAGTTGTA